CAGGAGGAGGAGAAGGAGACGCAGCAAGATAAGCAGCGGCAGGAGGATGATGAGGAGAAGCTGCATTAGCAGGAGGATGAGTAAGAGGAGGAGAGGCTGCAGGTGGAGGAGAAACAGTGGCAGCAGCAGAATAAGAAGGAGGGGGAGGATAAAGAGAAGCAGCAGCAGGTATAGGCTGAAGAGCAGGAGCACAGGCTGGGAAGGAGCATGGAGGTGGAGGTCGCTTGGTTCCAGCGATCGCAACATACCAGGCGGTGCGAGCTGCGAGGGCCGCACAATGCCACTTGTGGCTTTAATTTTCATTGAATTTTTTTGGATCAAATGATTTTTAAAATATTTTTATACTTTTTTTATTTTTACTTCTGTAACAGTGGAACCACAGCATCTAGAGCTCCTTTTATTTCATTTTACTTTAATTGTGCTATTGCAGCTCTCAGTGTCGTCTTCAATGCCATTCGTATGAACACACAGGCAAGGCAAGGCAAGGTAAATTTATTTGTATAGCACAATTCAGTACAAAGACAATGCAAAGTGCTTTACATGATTAAAATACAGGAAGATAAAACAGAATCAGGTGGAATGCATCAAATTTAGGAGGATAATTTACAATCATTTATTGATTGATTTACTGAAAAAGTAAGAATAATTCACGCGAAGAATACGAAAATGTTGTTGCATGTGGCCCAAAGACACCAAGTTATGGTCAGATTTCTATAGAAAACTTTTCACAATTTTTTTATTTCAATTAAAATTTTTATTGGCTGTAATGACATTTTATATTTGTCTTTTTAACCCGAGGTGAATTTCTGATAAATTTAAAAGTATTTGCATATTATGACATGTTTTACGTCGGGTTCCTATTCTTGATTTATATTTCCATATATTATGGTCTTGTATTTTTTAAGCATTTTTCTAGAATTGTATGAACCTATTTACTTTCATATCTCTTTGCTTTGCTACAGGCACACCTGAATTTCCGCACTGTGGGAAAAGAGGATATTTTTATTCTTGGTAAGCATGCAACTTGCTAAGCTAAAGCAGAAACAAAACTAGCAGCTTCATGTTTGTTTCTTCTTCTCAGAGCATCTGGCATGGCTCGGGTTTTTTGTTTGTGGAAGTGTTCAGACACAATAATCTGACATTGAAAACAAGTGATGGATCAGAACAAAACAGAAACAAACAAATAGAAAAATATTACAGTACTTTATAATACATTGTTCAGAGTAGCTGTAATAAAGTAAAACACTGCTCTAAATTCCACTTTTCTCTTGCAGGAAAGAGAGAACTGCCAAATATGGTGAGTGATAAACTTGCTATAAAACATCTACATTGATTCATACAATGATAGAGAATATAAAAAAAATGTATTTGATATGTTTAGTTTAGATCTGGGGCTTCCAAACAAACATGTGATGTAAAGGTGATTTGGTGTCCCCGAAAAAATAAACGTTTCTTGTTAATATCGATCATTATTACCTGTTTAGCAATAATGTAAAAACACACATATTTCAATGAAGCAAGCTAATTAGTCCCTTCTTTGCAGAAAAGTGATCTGTAAGTCACTGCAGACATAAACCTATTTCACATGTTTAAAATTACATTTAAAAAAAAGCAGCATACAATGTCTTTGCATGTTGACTTTCTTTGTCTGAATTTTTTCTGGGGGTACTTTATTTAGCAAAAAAAGGATGTGGTTTGCTTATGCTTCATTTAGTCTAATTTCAAACTCGAGAGACTCAAACCAGGAAAAGATGCAATTAGAAAGGTTTTATTGACCTGAATGAAATAAGTTCTTTGGTACACAGACCCAGGCAGAAGAATTTGTTATGTAAACTTAATGTAAATCTCTCCAGAGGGGCACTAGGCAGGGACGCCCGCTCTCTTTTTCCATTTTTATTGAGCCTCTAGCAGCAACAATTAGAAAATCTAATGTGGTTAAATGAATAAAATGCATGAAAATAGAGCATAAAATTAGTCTTTATGCAGATGATGCATTACTTTATCTCCAGCACTCAAACACTTGCCTCTCTTAAGTAATTAGATTACTAGAATCTTTCTCAAAAGTTTCAGATCACTCTATAAATTGGCCCAAATCTATAGTACTACCAATGAATTGCTCTCTACAGAATCCCCTAGCTTTACAACTGCAAACAAGAAATATCAAATGTTTGGGAATTACTGTGTCGTCTAAATTAGCTGATTTACTAAAACTTAACCACATCCTGCTTTTAAAAAAGATAGAATAGGACCTACAGTAGAAAGATGGAAATCGCTTGCAATCTCCCTCATGGGTGCCTCGATTAAAATAATGGTCTTACCTAGAATTAACTACTTATTTGAATGATCCCCAATAAACCATTGCTTTCCACATAGCATTTTAATTTAAATCTTTTTGTGAGAAGTCTCGCAACACAAAAAATGACACCATCATTTTCTTTCAGACAAAGTTGAAAAACCAGTTATAATACCATTCTTGATTTATAGTTGAGAGCGACACAAAATGATTCTTGGGGCCAAAAATGACCCTTGGTCCTGTTGAGATGCTCTATGATTTATAATCCCAAACTTTTTCCCTTTTGACCCATAAGAATCGTCTGATGACCCAACTATTAGTATAGTATGTAAACACTTCTACAAAATCAATTCACTCCACGTTACATATTACAACAACAAGCAAATACAGTAGTTGGTTTTGTCCATTTTAATCTAAATGTGTATAATTTTGTTTCATTTCTGTTGTGGATCTGAATAATACATAATACATACTATCTGATCACGGACTCTATGTGGGAATCATTCTGATGAAAACCTAAGAAGACTCATTCACAAATAGAAGACAAATGACACCTTATTTATGCTCTTTTCTTATAGAGTCATCGTTCTCGAGCCTCCAGGACCCGGCAGCATCTCCACTGTGACTCCTGCTACAGTCGGCGCTGCAGAGCTCGAGTGGAGGTTGGTGTGAGCTGTGCTCTCGCTCCCTGCCGTCTCCTCTGTGGAGCAGTATACCACCTGTGCAAAGAAGAGGATCACCTGCTGCTTTGCCCCAATGTCAGGGTGCCCTGCCTCAACGCAGAGTACGGCTGTACGGTCCAGCTTCCCCGCTCCTCACGGGCGGCTCACCTCCAGGTGTGTCCGGCCAGTGTGGTGAGCTGCTCCATGGAGTGGCTGCGCTGGCCAATAGATGAGACTAACCCACATGGCTTTAGTGCCTTGCAGCACAATATAATGAAGGGAGATGACACCCAGGGAAATGCTCTGGATGTTGCCATGGCTTTAGTTGATCAGTCAGACCTATACACACGCCTTCAAATGAAGCCACTTTACCCAGAGCTCACAGAGCCGGAGCAAGAGGAAATAAAGGAAGAGATTAAAGAGGATGCAGCAGTTGGAGGGTTTAGTTTTCTAGACCAAAAGGACAGTGAAGGTTGGTTAAATTAATAAAAATGCTTGAAATCTAAACAAAACATGGGAAACTTATTATATAAATATGCTATGCCTTTTTTCCTTTGCAGACATTCCTGGAAGCAGCATGTGTGAAAGTAATTCTGTGGATGAAACTGCTCAGAGCAATGTCACACAAACCCCAACTATCAACACAGAGAAATACAACCTGTTTGAGATGATGTTCAGCATGGAGAAACGGGCCTGCGCTGTCGCTCAGGAAAATTTAGAAAATCCAAAACAAGACCAAAACCCTGCAGATGAGGGAAGAGGGCAAAGAGGTGCAGATCAGGAGAGGCAGAAAAAAGCAGAGGCGGATAGCTCTGCTGCAGCCAGAAGCTTGCCTCCACCGGACACCAGTAAGACCGGCCTAGCTCCCTGGCAGGAGGGAGTTCTGGAGCGCCTGGGCCAGGAACTCACTCCACAGGAGTACAACATGTACATGGTGCATCAGGGACGCATGCTAATTACATTTCAACAGATAGAGGCGTGCACGCCGAGGGAGAAAGACTTCGTTTATGGCAGCTTGGAGCCAATTCCTGTGCAGACTCTACGATCTTTCAAGGTGATACGCAAAAATACACATAAAGCAATCCTTTTTATTAATGAGATCTTTAATACGTGTAATAACATGATTTAACCATACTACTACTGCTAACTACTGAGCCGTTCAAACTTTTCATGTAGGAATGAGCCTAAAATCCCTGACACCCATTAAGATTTATGCATAGATAAATCTACCATGTTTTTTTTTATTATTTTTTATTTTGTTTAAAATGGATGAAGACATGTCAGACAAGATTTCAGAAAAAATTCTGTTTCTATTCAAAACTGTATGCCATTCCAGATAGCCCAATGCTGTTCTATAGCATTGCTGTGCAATTTTACCATTAGATTAGAAATATATTATTAACTAGATCTGGAAGTTTTAGTTCATTGATATGTCAATTAAATCAATAGTAAAATGATTATAACTGACAATTTGCTCAATTAGCTGGTGTTATCAACTGCTTAGCTTTGTGGCTGGATATATTGGACCAGTTGTTAACGTCCAAGATGTCTTCACTATCAGTAAATGTCAATAACTTGGTTTATAATAGTAGTTATTAATCATTAAACAAAAGGGAAATATTTGTCTCTGTCTATTGAAGTTGTTAAGTCAAAGGAAGTAGGCTCTGATCCCTTTAGGCAACCGGTCACTGCTGTATAAATACTCACAGACTATCATGATTAAAACAAAAGAAGCACTTTATTGAACCTGATAATCCCTATCACAGTATTAATATGTTCAATAAACTATGCAAACACTACAAGCTACTGGAATTAACAGAGCAAACATAAAAGAGTCCAAATGAGTTCATGAGGTAGAGTCTGATAATGTTCAGTCCATTAGCTCAGCTGTTGATGCACTGAGGGGATGTCCATCAGATTATCAGTAGAAATTATATATAACACACAGATGGGTAACAGCAGTCTTTGGTAACATTCAAAAGCAATTAGGGATCAGTTTATCCAATAATGAACAATTACCAACAAAAACAATGCATTTGATGTGACAGCAGTGAGGTTTATATGAAAACGATTTGTGATGTGGAGAACGTAACTTAAGCTTTCTACTCAAATAAAAGTGTAAATGTTCAATTTTTAAAACTGCTTAAAGTATAAAACAAAAAATTATAGATGAAAAAATGTTAAGGACATATGCTTTAAACTTTATACTGGTTACTGTACTATCTACTTATAGGAACATTTTTCTACAATTCAGGATAATTACTTCCTTATACTTTTTTTCTTGGTGTTATAACTAATGGTAACTGTAGATTCCTAAGTAATGAAGCCATAAGCTTCACGCTCTTTTCCCCTCTCTAATCTACTTCAAGGTGAAAAAAACAAACAAAGGGGATCCTTTCCGTTAGGTTCAACCATTTACTTCAAAAATAAAAAAAAACAATATAGATATTACATTTCGATAAGAAATAAAATATTAAACGAAAATTAGGAGAATTGTAAAAGAGGTCAAAAAACTTTCTTCACTCCAATGACCTGACTAACACTGAAGCAGAAGCAACTCCCCTAAACATCCAGAAACAAACCGTGCACATTTGCAAAAGAACCTCTATTAGAAATATTGAATATACTTAAATATGAGAACCTTTAACTTTCTGATATTTACTGTAACTTATTAATGATTTATTTTATCTTAACTTAAACTGAATTTAGGCTCCTACAGTAAAGGTGTCAAATGTAACTTTGCATAATCTTAAAAAAACATTTATTTTGTCATGTGGTTATGATGGAGTCCAACCAAAGCACCAAGACATTTATTTTCTGGATGAAACAATTTATTTAGATGGTTTTAATTTTTTTAATACCAAAAGGCCATAAGGACAATGGGGTTAAATTAAACAAAACTAACAAGTCTTTTTTTATATGTAAGGAGCAGAAAGTTGCAAAAAAAAATATCAGAAGTAGAAGTGAAGTTGTCTAAAAAGGAATTACTCCAGTAAAGTATAGATAGGCAAAATTTCTACTTGAGTAAGGTCAAGTATATGTACTTTGTTACTTGACACTTTTGCTGGTGAGTTAGCAGCAATGCTAAGATGATAACCACAAGGCAGAAGCACTTACAGTGCAGAAGGCAACACCAGATACATGTCTGCCCAGGACAGGAACCGGGTGCTATCTTGGTCGATTGATCGGTGGAGATTTGACAAAAATCATCAATTGTATTGAAACAGGCGTATCACCAAAGCTGCCTTTATCAGCTCAGTGGTATCTCTGAAGAGGGATGCAGTCCTTTTCACCATCAAAAATGGACCATGGTTCCAGAGATTGCACCAAATTTAACATTGTCAAGGTTTTGGTTGAGGTTTGAAAACCCAAATGCAGAGGCAGAGAGGCTGGGGAGATTTCTTGCAGTTTAATGGAGAGAAACAGTAAACAAAGGCAGGTATCCAAAAATCCAACTAATGTAAAGCAAACCAGAACCAAGGGTACATCTGGGGAAACCAAACACGAGGAGCCAGGGAGAGACGAGGAACGCGGACAACAGCATGGCAAGACAGCAAAGACAAGGAACCAACAAAGAGTGACAGCAGAGGGAGAGTATATGTAGCTGACTGAGACATAGGCAGGGTTAACGAGCAGATAAGGAGCAGGTGTGAGAGGAGACAACGAGGAAGCCAAGGGGAAAGGAACACACACAAGAGGGCAAAAGAGGACAACAACAGAAAAACCTGAGAACTAACAAATCTAGAAACTACAACAAAATAGGAATTAAACCAGTAAAACTATAAAACAAGGAGCAAAGTAAAGCACAACAGAACCAAGACCATGGCAAACATGATGTCCAGCTTGAATGCTGCGTCTCTTCTTGCATTGGGCCTCTTCAAAACACAGCCGTAATCATACACCCTCGGTGAAGTTGGTTCTGATTTGTATCAGCATGGACCATCTGGTTATTATAATATACTGGCCCTAAGCAGCTGGCTAACGAGCTATGGTGCATCCTTTGGCCATAGGAAACATAAACAACACCAATAGGACATACCACTGGTGTGGAAGAAGAAGCAGAATAACAGAAGTAGTCAGTGATGAGAGTAGAAAACCAGAGAGCTTATGAGTGAAGAGAAAAGGCATTGCAACCAGGTGGAAATGACAGAAACAGCTGAGAATAATGAAGGCAGCGAGCTGAGAAGGGAAAGCCAAGAGTTAAAGCAGAAAAAAGAAGAAATGCAATCAGAAACAAATATTTTGTTTGGATGTACAGTACAGGGACAAAAATGTTGTTTCTTCACTGGTGTTTCCCAATGGATGACATTTCCACTAGTGTTGCATCGATACCGATACCAGTATTGGACGGGGCCCCGATACTGCCCTAAAATGGTGGTATGGGTATCGGCGAGTACCAACAAATAGGGCACCAATACCATTTTGAGAGCCATAAGTTTATTCAACTATTGTCACCCATTCCTGGTAGGCAATAAGAAGTTCTACTGGATTCACTTTGTATTAGATTTTTTCCTGCTTCACAAAGGTAGGCAGCAGCTTGATAAAAAAGCCATAATGGCAATTATTTTACATTATTATGGTATCGGTATCGGCCGATAATGCACAGCCAGGTATCGGGTATCGGGGCCAAACAATGGCATCGGTGCAACACTAATTTCCCCCAATCTCATCTACAGTATCTATGAAAATATTATGGATTTTTCTTTTCTTACAGGCCCCTGTAAGTTATCGATACAAGCGGAGGGTTCATTATTACGAGACCACTGGACGGGCAAAGACTGAACATCAAAGTGTGGACACATCAGACCTTGGAGCCAATGAAGAAGACTGGTTTTCCGATGAAGCTGCAGCAACCCTCCTTGGCTATGCTGAATTAGCAATTATGGGTCACAAGGTATGAAAACTATTCTCTGGAATTTGAAATCATTGCAACGGGTAAATGATCTTTTTCTTTGTCAGATCAGTGAGACAAATGGAGGAGACGGGTTCTATGTAGATATTGGAACACAGACACATACTTTCCGCAAAGCTCCCTTCAAACAGAAGACGACCCTGGCAGAGGTGATGGTGGACCGGCGGCTAAAGCTTCTCCTGCAGCTTCAGGCGGAGAGCGTAAACAGCAGAAACAACAGAGCGAGCTGTGCGTTCACCTTCCTCTGCGGCCACACCTTCCACCGTAGAGAGTTTGCCACACACTTCAGGTATGCGTTAGACTCACATGCAACTATCTAAATCTTGATTTTATTGAGTGCCTTTTATCTTTCAGGAACGCACACAGTGATATCCAGATGTGTCTGAGTGAATGGTTTGAGCAGCGGTGCCCCCTGGCGTATCTGGGATGCACCTACAGAAAGAGGAGGTTTCATCCGTCCACTCAGAAGGCCACTGTCACCTACAAGTGAGAACAGTTTTTTGTCTGTATTTTTCCATTGAGTTTAATGTCTAGCTTCATTTTGCTAATAAGAAATCAGCTGACCTCTGTAAGGTATCAGAGTTAAAGGTTTGCGTCTCAGATTTGTACTTTTACCCATTCTTCTTGTTTTCTAATGCAAAACTAGACCATTTCTGGTTGTGGTTTAAAGGAAAAGTCCGGTCAGCAAGGAATAATCAGTGGATCATTATCTATACCTAAAGCTAATACGTTTCCTCTGATTTAATACATTTAGCGTTAATCAGTAAAAAAAATTAAAACAATAATTTTCATTGCGATCACTGAGTCCCTGACTGGCCATTTTGCACAAATATAGTAACACGTCACTCCAGTGACGTCACGGTGCGGTAAGCTTAGCGCCATTCTCAATAAAGCAAAATCAATGGGAACTACTAGACACATCTGCAATCAACAACAATTACTTAAGACTTCGACAGGACTTAACCATTGAAATTAGCAAGAGCTATAGTTAAACTGACAATGCCCACATCGGGTAAAGGTGAAATTTTTTGTTGTTATTTCACCTTTCCGATTCATGATCCACCACGGACTGGAGAAGAGGAAGGATTTGCCATCGAACTTCTGGCCAGAGAAAAAAACACGTCATATATAGCAAATATTTAGAAGAAGAATGTTTTCAACATGACTTAGATAATAGCGCATTGTGACAAATACCAGATACAGCACTGGGACTTGATCAACAGCCGATACCGCACCGTGACGTCACAAACCAGTAGGTGGCAGTAGTGTTCATTGACAAACATGGATGTCTCCAGTAAAGCACATTCAAATGAAAATCCCTCGCAATTAAAACACTTATCATTTATTGAACAGTACGTAATAATTTTATATATAAAGTCCTTTCAGAAGTTTGAATTCTGAATATGACCGGACTTTTCTTTGAGGGGTATGAATACTTTCAATATATATTTTGTTTTATATTATTCCATAGGGAATGGCTGGTTAATGATACTAACCAATCTATTATAACGTCTATTGTTTCTCCCAGCCAGCAGCTGCGGTGTTTTAGCTTACGTCCAGATGTGAATAGCTCCTCCAACGGCAAGGCAGACCCCTCCCCTGCTGCAAGAAGAAGTAAAAGTCAAGAAGGAGAAAGGGAGGACTGGCTGAGCCTGTTGCCCTATGAAGTGCTATGCCATGTGGCCAGCTTCCTGGACAGCCTATCCCTGTCCCAGCTGGCCCTGGTGTCCCATCTCATGAGGCAGGTGTGCTCCTCTCTGCTGCAGGACAGAGGGATGGTGACCCTCCGCTGGGAGAGAACAAACCTCTCACACGGACAAGACAAGTGGATTTCCAAACCTGTGAGAAATACAATCCATCAAGAAATCGCCAATCCTGACTTTCCTGTCTTCATGACTCTCCTTCTGTTCCTCTGCAGGTGTGGGAGTTCAGCCATTTGTTCTCTGCAGTGGATAAATGGGAAATGGCAGATTTATCTTCTCTTTCTGCTCACCTGAAAGTCTGTCCTTATTACCAGAAAACTGAACAGAGGGAACGAGTCCCCCTTCCGTTCATTACTGAGATACAGCAAAGGAGTCCAAAGGATCAGAGTCTCCTCAATCATTTTACAGGAAGAAGATGATTAAAGAAAATAAGAGAAAAATATTTTTCTGCTTGGGTTTTACTGAATTGACTATATCTAGTTATAGAGATAAATTAAAGATTTAGTATCAGTGCCTAAAAATCTCAAAACACAGTTAATATCTAAAAAACCCAAAGAACCATTTACCATAAAAACATATAAAACCTCAAAGTCCCGCACACAGAGTAGCCACCATTACACTGCACACAAGTTATGAATATGAACTTTAGGCTCTATAACATTTAAGTTTAATTTACTCATTTAAACTTCAGATTGTGTGAAATTGGCATATACCCATCAGAAATCTGTGGCAAAAATGACTTTGCCAAAGAAATTGTTTTACTTCCTATAGGGGCTTTATTAGAACCAAAGAGATGAACAAGTCTGTCAATAACCCATCTGTTTGTCCCCAAGGTGTCATCGCGTTGAAATAAAACAGACTAAGAAGTGTCTTCTTGCATTTTTTGCTTTCACTGCTCCAAGCCTCAAAACCTTTTGAAGTTCCAGCTTTGTCCAAAGATGTCCTCTTCCAGGAAACCCTTTATTTTTTAATTCAAAACTGGAAGAACCTCAAATTCTATGCAAACTTTTCCATAAGTACTGGTTTGGTCTAGTTATATTGTAAAATAGGAAAATGATCCTTAACAGTTCTCTGTGCCCTTATTGTCTGTTAGTAGTTTCAGCTCAAGCCAGTTTCTTGTAGAAATCATCACATGATCAGCTGAAATACCTTGGATTGTAATGTCTGGTACCAAAACAGAATGGACCCAAGGAAACACAACCCAAGGAAGCAGGTTTTATTACAAAATAATATGTGAATGGCTACGAAAACCGATGGCCTGAACGCCGACTCAGGACTGTAGACGATCTGGCAGGACACTGGCGAAAAGCTGAGAGCTAAATAGGTAACAGAACTGGCTCAAGAACTTGTGGCAGTCAGACAGTGGATAGATGGTGCATTCAAGGTGGGCTGGGTAAAACCAATAACAGATCAAACAGATAGACGATAGAAAATGATATAGAAAACAGATAGAAAACTATAAACTGCACTTTGGCTGATCTAAACATCGGTTAGTTACTTTTCCCCTCTTACAGTGACTGTAAAATTCAGCCTTCAAAAAAAGAAAAATAGAATCAAGCTTTTGTCAACATGACATGTCTTATATTCTTCATTTTTGCTTTAAATAATTAGAATTTCTGGGCTTTTTTCCCATTTAACTTTTGTATGCATTTGTCTCAGTCTCTGCCATACATCTTAACAGCTTTACTTATTTTATCTTTTTACTCTAACCATTGCACATAATAAACTATGCCATTTATACTATAAAGTATAAATGGCATTTATTAAAAATACTGTAATGACACATTTTTAGTATTGAGAAGATTGGAAATGCTCACAATTTAGGGCAGGTTAGATACAGCATTTAACTTGATAGTAATGCAGTTTGCAAGAATATGCATATTTTTCAGGCAAATTTAAGCATGACTTTTGTCTTGGGCTGCACGGTGCAACCGTATGTAGCCCTGTTGTCTTGCACCAAGAAGGTTCTGCGTATGATTCCCTGCTCGGGGTCTATCTGCATGGAGTTTGCATGTACAAAAACACATGACTGATAGGTTAATTGGTATCTCTAAATTGTCCTTATAGGTGTGTGTTACGGTACAACCTGGAAAGGTAGGCACCAGCCCCACTGCGAGCCTGATGGTATAAGCAGAAAAAGATAAATGGATGGACTCCTGCCCCTATAACGGATGGGTAAAGAGAGAAGTGACGTATGCATTTAAGAAGTCTGTATAAAACCGACAGAACAAAACAGAACTGCTTTCGGCACAAGATGCTTTGGGCAAATAAATGCAATGAGGGAAGTTTTGGGAATGTTTAGGGTTTGACCCTTACTGTTCAACATGATTTTACACCAGTGCATGAAGAAAAACATGGAAAATTGGGTTTGATTTGGAAACACTTGACAGGCCTGCAAAAAAAGAAGCCATTGATTGTTGCATCTGTGTCTGACCTCATAAATGCACTGGAAGAACAATCATATATACTTAGACAGTTTATATACAGTATGAGACACACCCCATACATATGTCATGATCTGGCCTGTTTGCTCTCCCTTAATTAGTAATTCCTTTCACCTGCCCTCTTCCCTCCCTGCCTCATTATAATTAATTCCTCTCACCTGTTTCCTCTGGTTTATATTCAGTTCAGCCTGAGCATTCAGTGCCAGATCATTGCTTGTCTTTCTGTCAGTCTTTCTGTTCAGTTTTTATTTGGTTCATGTCCTGGATCCTAGCTGCCAGTGGAAAGAGGGTTTTAGTGTTTGTCTCGTCTCCTGATCGTCCACTGTTCCTCCCCTGCGGAGTCCTCTGGGTTTTTGGCTCATTATGGGGGGAGGTTCAGTTTTTATCTAAGTAAGCCTGACTCCGGGGTGGAGACCAGTTTAAAGTCTGCTTCAAGTTCAGGTTCCACGTCCTGTCTCGGCTACCCTCTTCCACTGAGCCTGCCTGTCTGCACCTGATCCTGTCTGATCCTGTGCGTGACCAACTGGTCATGCTTCTGGTCCCAGTAAGACTCTGAACCCTCCTGGAAGCCTGTGGATGCCTGGAAGTCTGGATCCTGCCACCTGTCTCTGTTCCTGCCTGATCTGGATCCTGCCTGTTTCTGTCTGTTCCTGTCTGTTCTGGATCCCTGACCAGGATCAGCTTCCACCATCACCTCTGGGACTGCAGCACTGGGACACTTGTGGTCTGGACTGTTAAACCAGGTAAGTGACCAACACAGTTAATCTTCTATTGGTTGATCGTGGTCACTTACCTGTGTTTCCTCCCTAGAGTGTCTGAGATTGGGCGGTGCCCCGCCCCCCCTGCCTGCAGTGTCCGCGAGCCACAGCTCCGCTTTTGTTTTGTTTTTATATATATTTTATTTTAATAAACCTTTTGAACTTTCTTACTGACTGTCTCTCCTGAATACTGGGTCCATCTGTCCTCGGTTCATGACAACATGTTGAGGAAAACCCTTGCCTGAAGAGAAAAAGCTGTAACAGCTGCAAAATATTGGGCTAAGATTCATACTGCAGTGTCCTGTGATGCTGCAAGGGCTGTTGGGTAATGTTAGCATGGGGGTGGGAGGGGGGGTATCAGCATGTAATCCTAGCTTTGAAGTAAAAATGGTTGTTGATGTTGGAAGTCTGTTTATACTAGGCTAACATGGTGTTTGTAAGTGCTAAACAATGGACCATAAGGAGAATATTCCACCAGTTGGATGTTGTCAAAAAGGAATCCTTTGTTTTTTGAGACGACAGAATCAATGCATTGCATTTAAATATTTGTTCCAGCAGTTATTGTCTACATGCTGTTAAATTTGGTCAAATATCAAATTCTTTGCAATAAAAATTTAAGTTGTACCACATGCATATAACTGAAAAAATTTACTGAATCGCATTAAGTTTCTTTAATACAATCGTTTTATGTCCTACCCTTCTAACATGAAACAATTGTGTTAAAGCGTAACTAAATATGATTAAGTAAATGCCAAAAATGGGTGCATTATTTTTTTCAGTGTAGGTGTTAAATCTTTTAGTAAGACAGTTTGGCTCCAGTAAAATAATCAGTTTTAAGATGTAATGCTTTGTGTGAAACCTTAAAGAAAAACGCGTGCCCTTCAGATGTGCATACAGTATAATTTCTGAAATTAAAAAGAGGTGCATTGTCCCATTGGCAGCTCCTACAATCAAGCCTCTTCCCCTGATCTGCTTCTCGGGGGCACTAATAACCCCTCATAGCTCGGTGCTTTGTTGTGAGCGCAGCGCAGCGCCGCACTGCACGTACAGCAGAAGGTGAAGAGTAGGTTATATCCACTCAGCCTGATGCTGCAGGATTCATTCATGCTTTGCAGGAGGCGCACCGAGAAACAGCTGCCAAAGCAAACATAACAGCTGGAGAGCGTCATTTAGCGCATTCGGGTTTTTATTTTATTTTGTCCGCATTTTGGCTGCATCGAGGACAGAGACACCGGTCCGGGATCCATGAGACATCCTTTAGACTGGATACCGCTTCAGTATCACGGTAGGCCACAGACACAGATTATTACGCTCCAAACACCGGAAAACGCGCGCATATATTTGACCGAATGCAACTAAAATAAAAGAGAAGATGGATGAGTGATTTACCTGCTATTTCCTTTGATCAATCGGGAAATCATTTCTTATGAATATACTCAATGTTATCAGGTGATGTCACTGATGTCCAGCTGCTGACATCTGTTCAGGTTGCGTGAAGGTGGAGCCATGGACGCCGGGAGGCTGGAGCAGCAGGTGGCCAGCGTGGAAAGGGGGATCTGCTTCCTGAAGCAGGAGCACCTGGCCATGCTGACCGGCCTGCAGCTGGAGATCACACACCTGAAGAGGCGCTGCCAGGGTCAGTCCCAGCTCTGCAGCTTCCAGCACAGGGAATCCTGCCTGCTTTGTCTCCTCCATCTGTACCCTCTCTCCTAATCTGCCTCTTTCTTTGTACAGAGCTGAGCTGTGAGCTGGACTCCAAGTTTCCAGACAGAAACACTTCAGGTAAGAAATTAGATTTAGGGATTAATTAGCCTAATTGATTAATTATAACTGAAACTAGAATAAAAATAGGCATTGGGTTCCCTGAGCAAGTGCTGATGCAGCTGTTTTATAGATAAACAAACAAACAAGCAAATAATTACATTGATATATATATATATATATATATATATATATATATATATATATATATATATATACAGAGAGATAGGGAGATTGAAGAGGAGGGAACAGGAGAAATGGTTAATGGTTTACAGATAATATACATTTATATTTAGCCCCTTTGCTCTCAATACTATGAACTGCCAAATGTAAAAATTTACTTTTACTATGTTTCTTCATATTTGTTGGTTTTATCTAATATTTAGCAGCAAATAAATCTACTTTAACATCCTATCTTAATGTTATATTTGTATCGTATGCCAAAACAGTAAAAAAAAACAATCCACTGGACTTTGTTTCCAATGTTCAAGACGTTTCGCCTCCTATCCAGGACCAGTATTGGGCATTGCAGGCTAACAAAGAACCCAAATGACTCCCCATTCCTAAGGGGAGGACCTGTTCTTCTGCTACAATTTACATGTTTTTTTTTAAAGCCAAAACAAGGCTTTGTTTTGGTCCACTCTATAAAGCCTCGAACTCATGGCTAATTCTGACATTTTTAATTGAAAAAGCATCCTGGATGGGAAGCGAAACGTCTTCAAACTTGGAAACAAAGTCCAGTAGATTGTTTTTTAACATGTATTTGTATCCTAAATTTATATATATCTTTTGCAAATCTTAATCTTAAATCATAAATCTCTATCTTACGTCTAAATCTTAAATGCAAATATACATCTTAAATCTTACATTTAAATATGCACCTTAAATCTAAATCTTAAATCTAAA